TCCCCGTGCATTCCTGTTTAAAAGAGGGGGCTGGTCTCACCCTCCTCCTTATCCTGCTGTATTGCCCCCACTTCCTGCATGGGATGGGGGGACTTCTGAGTTATACACCTGATAGAGCACGAGGCTGTTAGCCAGAGGGTGGGGGGTTCAGTGCCTTGGTCCAGGGGTGGGCCCTCCACCCTCACTCCCACCTTTCTGTAGCCCATCTGTCCCTTTCTATGGAATGGCTCCAATGTGTGTGTGTGTGTGTGTGTAGCCTGGGAAGGGGGCAGGGTCAGACTCAAGCCCAGGTGTGTGTGTGTGTGTGTGTGTAGCCCGGGAAGGGGGCAAGGTCAGACTCAAGCCCAGGCTCTGGCACCATCACAGACTTGGTAGTCTCGTCTCAGGTGGCAAACCAAACGTGATAGCACCCGGCCAGGTTCTGTCTCCAAATGGTGTAACACTTTGCTATGGGCTGAACTGTGTCCCCACCCCGCCCAAATATGCATGGAAATCCTAACCTCTAGGCCAAGTCTGAGTCTGGGAGCATCTTGAACTGCTAATCGCAAGGTCAGCAGTTTGAGCCTACCAGCTACTATTAGGGAGAAAGAGGAGACTCTACTCCCATAAAGAGTGACAGCCTCAGAAACCACAGGGTCAGTTCCACTCTGTCCCACAGGGTCACTGTGAGTCCACTTCAACTCGATGGCAGGGGGTTAGGTCCTTTAGTGTACCCAAAGTAAGGAGCCCTAGTGGTTCAGTGGTTAAGCATTGGGTTGCTGACCTACAGGGTGGCTATTCAAATCCACCAAGCTACTCTTTGGGTAGCTGCTTCCATAAAGATGGCCAGTCTCAGAAACACCACGGGGAGGTTCTCCTTTGCCCCATGGGCTCACCATGAGTGAGCGGGGACAGACTCCAGCCAGGAGGTTTGGCTCGGGCTTTGACGCCTGCCGTTATAACCCCCTTGGGGAATGTCTGTGCTGTGTGGTGACAACCAACACACCCACCAGAGTTCTGCCATGATGGATGGGTCTTTAAGGGGCTGGACTTGAGGGGTCACTTAGCCACAGGTGCCTGGGGCGGGGGTGGGAGGTGGGGGGATGGTCTTCACTGGGGCAATCTGATCAGGTGGCCAAGTCAATGCCTACTAATTGTCAGATGGCAGACAAACGGGCTAGCCTCTCCAAGCCTCGGTTTCCGGTCAGCACCTGGAGGATGGCCAGAGGCTGTTGAAGGCTTTCTGGAGCCTGGGTGCTGGGCACCCTGTGCTCATGGTCTCGATTCCCCTGGTGGGGTACCTGGAGCCCGTGGAGAGTGGTGCAGAAGCTCTCTGGAATCTGAGTTGGTAAGAAACCAAATTTTGGTGATGGTCAATCCAGAATCTTCTCTGGGGACTAAACCCCAAACCAAATTCAACTCTGCCCCCACCATGGAGTTGATTTAACTCCTGGCCAACCCCATGGGACAGAGCAGAAGTGCCAATGAGGTTCCCAAGGCTGTCACTCTTTACAGGAGCAGACGGCCTCATCTTGCTCCAGTCAGGGGACCTTTCCACAGGCAGGTGCTCTGACCTCTGTGTGACCAGGGATCCTCCCACAGGGGTTGTTGGGCCCTTGAGGTGGGAAGGGCCTTGTCTCCCGGCTCTCGCTCTGCCCCGGGACTGAGAGCAGCCTTGGGGACTGCACACAGCAGGGTGGCCAGAACCAGGGATGCTCTTCTCCACGTCTGGCAAAGGTGCCCTTCTCCTTGTCCCTCTGGCCAGGACTGGCCCTGTCCCTTGTGCATTTGTGTGTCCCTGTCTGTGGTGCCCCCCGCAGCTGGTGGCGGGTGCCCCCCGGGGTCTGGCACCTCCCCTTGATGACAAAGGGAGGTGTCCCCAAAGGCTTCCCCTCTCTCCCTCCCTCCTTCCTTCTCCTCCTTCCCTGTCCTCCCTGCCTCTCACCTTCTCCCTCTTCCTTCCAGGTGGGACTCACACGACTTCCCTCGCCTCCTCTGTGTCCTTGCTGCTCGCTTCCAACTTTCCTTTCTGTCCTGCACCTGGTTCTGGTACCTGCACCCTTTCCCTCGCCTCTGTCCCAGCCCACTGCCCTGTCTGCCTCCGTCTCTCTCCCCTTCCATCCCGCCTCCACCCGATGCCCTGAGCATCACCATTGCTCTCCCCGCCCTCCCCACCACCCGTTTCTCTATTCTCTTCCTTGTCTCCATCTCTCTCACCCCACCCCTTTCTTCCCCGCGCCTCTTCCTTTGCTTTCTCCTCTCCCTCCATCTCTGCCCCCTCCCTCCCCCACCCCTCCATCTCTTACCCTCTGTGCCTCTCCCCAGCCTTCCTGTCCTCACGCTCTCCCTCTCCCCCCTGGGCCCTTCCAGAAACATACCCATATATGGCCTGTGTGTCAAGGACCGCAGATGATGGCGTCCTGGG